CAAAATTTTCTAGTAAAAAATCACTCAAGAAGAAATTCTGAAAATTTAGCTAAAGGACCCCGCACAAAATTATAGGAAAGTGGCCCGCAGTGGTATTTGGCTGAGATTTACATATGTTGTAGTTAATGAGTTTCTGATCAAATGTTCTTATTGGCATAATCCTCTAAGACCAGTGATTTAGCTCTCAGGGCCATATTTAGTATAGGTGCCCAATAAACAATGACACTTTTTTTTCTCAGATTAGGTATTTAATTTTAACGCGGAAAATTGTGTAATCTTAGTATTTGTGTTTTAGCACAAGTCCTTTTTGAATCATGTATTGTCTTACAGGACCGTATTTAGTGAAGCTGTATTTGCCAAGTGGTACCCGAAAAAAACCGAATTAAAAATTGATTGTGTATCGTGTCATTTCTTGTCATATTTTCATGGTTGATAGCTCGTTTGTTAGAAGATAAATGTAGCTTTCTTTTCCAGTCACAAAAGATGGCCATTATCTCTAGCCAATATTCTTGTTCATATGTAGCTTTTTAAGGAAGAGAGAAATAGATAGAAAATTAACAACAGATGCAATATGGCAACTTTTCACTTGTCGAAATGGGGCAAATATTCAACGGGGTAAAATAGTGGGCAGATTAAAGCGTTAAAATAATAACGTAAAGTTTGTTTAAAACGGTTCAGTTTTATGTGATTTATATTAAGAGTATAAAAGTAGGTGTCACTGTGAACAAAAAATATCAATATCAATCAAATCTGTCTTGGGAAAAAAAATGAGCTCACAAAATTTTTTCTATCATTATTTGACACATTTACAGTTTGTGTTCTGTTTATTGATTTTTTTTTGAGTTTAAGCCTATATATTCTTCAAGTTGTTTTTTGATTTTTATGAAACACTTTTCTTTAAAAAATGAAAATGGATCCCATATTTCCATGTTATGTCTGTATGACGGTATATGATGTTCGGAGAATGGCACGGATCGACCGAGTGGGTGATGTGCATAGAGGTAAGCCCTGAGACAAGGGTGTGTATAAATTGCAATTTAGGAATTCTAAATGAAATTGCTTTAATCGAACAAGATCCCGCAAGTATACGATTAAACATCATAAGACAAAGATCCCACCAAAAATGCTGTGTATGCAATGCCCTTGAAAATCTTGTAAGAATATCTTTAGCAGCCCGAGTTAGTGTCTTTATTAAACAAAATATTTACATTCCTGAGGGAGTAAGATGTTGCGACCATCATTTGGACGAACAAAGACTCATGCTCAATGCTGTGTTGCCTGGATTAGAGTCTGTAAATTGCCCATACCTTTTGAAAGGAAAAACTCTCCAAGAGTTCCTGCAAGGTCTTCGTAGCGCTGCAAATAAAAAAAACAAGATTTTTGTGATGAAAACTCCTATGCGGATAACGAATTTAAAATATTGACTTCCATTTCAAAAAATCAATTTCAAGAATTATTTGGATATTGTGATCCTATTCCCGGTGAAGCTGGATTCAGATATGTACTCAAGAAAGACCTTTTAGCATTTCTGTGCAAGCTAAAACAAGGCGTATCTGATGAATTTTTAAAGATAATTTTCGCCTATACCACAAGACAGTCAGTAAGTTTGGCAATTAGCAAAGTGAGATTGTCTCTGCGGATCAGATTTCTTACAGATAATATTGGATTTCAAGCAATCACTCATCATTAGTATATAGAGCGACACGTTACTCCATTTTCAAATGAGCTTTATAACCCCACACCCGAAAATCCGAAAGCAATATGCTTAGTAGACGCTACTTATGCCTACATCGACAAAAGTTTCAATTTTCGGACTCTTAGGCAGACATTTTCTCAACATAAAGGTCGCCATTTGGTAAAACCGACCCTACTGGTTGCTCTTGATGGCTACATTCTCGCTGTACTGGGTGTTTACTTCACTGATGGGCATGATTCTGGAAAATGAATACGAAAATGATGTTCAGGGTATGAGAAACTGGTTTTTGGAGGGTGACATACTCCTAAATAGAGTGGGGATTAATTACAGAATGCCAGCGTTTATGCAACCAGGAGAAAATCAGCTCTCAACGGAAGCAGCAAACGATAGTCGATTGGTAACAAAGTCTCGATGGGTAATAGAAAGTCGTAATGGACATTTTAAGTCAATTTTTAAATTCTTTGATGGAGTTATCAATATGCAACATGCTCAACACTTGAAAGACTTTTATCTTATTGCTGGCGCTATTATTAATAGATATCATCCACCAATTTTAATGGCAAATGCTACAGTTGAATTAGCAAGAACTATGCTAGCCAGGTCTAGACATATTAATCTTGTTCAACAACGGGTAGAACAAGAACGCTTACTCAATCGACATGGATTATGGCAGCAACTTAATAATGAGCATGTACCTCAATTTCCATTTCTATCTATGGATTACTTAAGACAGTTAACTTTTGGAACCTACCAAATTAAATTATCAGCTTCTTATGTCCAAGACAGAATATTTAGAGATGATCACGAGTCATTCGAAATTGACCTAAGACTGAATGAGCCCGGATTTATTAGATTGAGAGTATATTCTCGATTCAGAAGAAGAGAAAAATACCAAGTATTTATTCAATACACTTTGCATGAAAACCAGCCTGATGAGAATAATGAAGAATACGTATTGGTAACAGGATACTACTGCAGTTGCAAATCAGGGGCAAGGACATTAGGAACATGTGCTCATATTTGTAGCATATTATGGTATTTGGGATTTGCGCGCCATAATCAAAATATCAAATATCCATCGACTTCAATGTTACAACATATTAAAGATGCCGCAAATCGTCCAGTGCAAGATGCGATACCCCATTAGCTGTAAGTGTTCGGGTATTATTTCGAAAATATAACCAAAATGATAGGACTCAATTTATAAACTCGCCGTCGGGATTCCGTTTTCTTCTACAGCGAACTGTGAGGCCGATGACGAGTATAAATTATTTTATGGGATTTCTAAAATTCAATTGGCTCGACGCAAACGCAAACGCAAGCGGAATCTCGACGGTGGGTTTATAAATTGGGCTTAACTTTTTTGAAGGTTAACTTTTTTGTTCTCTTTCACTACCCTGGAAATATCGATTTCAACTTTGTTAATTATGGAATAGTATAGTGTTTGTTGTAGTTTTGTAGTTTGTTATAGTAAAATGCACATTCAACTTTGACTGCATTATATATTTTGATTGCAATTTTGTTTTTCTTTTTGCGATAAAAGGCAATAGATTTTCAAAAAATCATAACTTGTTTTATTCTGTCCAAAGCTAAAACTAAAAACTGAAACGTGATCCAGTTGTTTCGTGATTTTGGCAGAATGGCCAAAGGTACATGACCTAACAATTTTTAAAGTGACTCAGTTAGTATTTGACCTATTTCATTCAAGTGAAACGTTGTCATGTTTACATTTGTTGTTTATATTTTCCTCTGTTACTTTCTTCCTTAAAAAGCTACGAGATGTCCTACTACATAAGTATATTGGCTAAGCCCGCTATATTGTATATTAAGATAATGGAGATTTTTTGAAACTGAAAAAAAAAGCTTCATTTATTTATCAAACGAACTATCAACGATTAAAATAGGACAAGAAATGAAAAAGGTATAACACAATAAATTAATTCGGTTTTTTCGGATTATGCATATATTATTATATTTGGAGTAGGTATACCTAATACAGCTTTACTAAATACGATCCTGTAGGACAAAACATGATTCAGAAAGGACTTGTGCTAAAAAAAAATACTAAGATTATACAATTTTTCGCATTTAAATACATAACCTGGATAGGAAATGAAAAGTTATGGGTTTGAGAAAAAAGTGTAATTGTTTATTGGGCACCATACTAAATACGGCCCTGAGAGCTAAATCATCAGTCTTAGAGGATTGTACCAATAATAACATTTGATCAGAAACCCAATACCTACAACATATGTAAATTTCAGCCAAATCCCACTGCGGGCCACTTTCCTATGATTTTGTGCGGGGTCCTTTAGGAAAATTCAACCTGTCACATTTTAATCCTGATTTTAATGTTTTCTCTAGAAAACGTCCAAGGAAAAATTTTAAAATTTTCTGAAAAAAAGGAGAAAAATTGGGAGCTCATCATATTAAAATTTCAAAATCTTCCACTGAAAAATCACTCCAGGAAAAATTATTAAAAATTAGCTAAATTTAGGGAAATTCGCCATCTACATTTTATTTATTTTTCTGAAAAACTGGCAAAGGGTTATAACATTTCAATGTTTTTTCCTGGAAAACTATCCAAGGAAAAATTTTAAAATTTTCTGGAGAAAGAGAGGAAAGTTGGAAGCTCACGACAGTTTTGCACCTGAAAAGCCTCAAAAGTGAACACTGAGACAGTTTTTGCTTCAAAACTCTGTTAATTTTCATCCAATTTGAATGTATTTGAGCTCTAATTAAAGCTAATTAAATTATCTACAAACCTATTAATTAGAATTATCATTTGGGTTCAACAGTTTTGCATCTGCATCACTGCAATAGTTTTTGCTCTACAACTCCGTTAATTTTCATCCAATTTCAATGTAATTAAGCCCTAATTAAATCCAATTAAATTCTTTGAATTTATTGAATATTGAAATTGAAAATTTGCCAAAAATGACACTGACCTCATAGCTCCATCAATTTCCATCTGATTTCAACGTAATTACGCTTAAATTAAAGTCAAATAAATTCTCCAAAACCCTACTAATTAAGATTTTAATTTGGTTCCAACAGTTTTGCACATGAGTAGTGTCAAAATTGAATTTATCAAAAATTGAAATTTTTACAAAAAAAAACACTGAAATAGTTCTTGCCTTACAGCTCTGGTAATTTTCATCCAATTTCAATGTAGTTAAGCTCTAATTGAAACTAATTAAATTCTCTACAAACCTATTAATCAAGATTTTCATTTATTGCACTTGCCCTCTCATTATTCTTACCCTGGCAAAATCCAAAATAATCTGGCAATCAAAACACTTACCTAACATTCCCCTTATTATCACCCAAGACCTTGAGAGGAGTGACAACACCGTCTGAACCATGATTCTTGTGCACCTTTTGCCCCTTCAAAGGTACATTTTCGCTCTCGCTAAAACACTCCTCATTAACATCGGTTTCTTCCAAAATATAATCTTTTATAGGTTTTATAGCACCGTTTCTGGGCAACAGTGCCAACCTGGTATCCTTGTAGCTACCGTCCAAAGAAATATTGGACAAAAAGCTGACCGCAGCGATGCGGCGTCTGGATCTGCTCCTTTTCAACGATGCTTGTGCCATTAGATGAACTCAATGACTGATTTGTTGTTGTTAAAAAAGGACACACTTGCACCAGGTAATTTGATACTTAAAAACTAAAAACTGATAAGGCGAACAGTGATACGTGAAGATATCACTGACTGTACATAGTTCTATTGTTGTTGCACATCGTGCTGGCAGAAAAGTACTTTTTATTTTTGGAGCTTATGTAAAAATCAATCGAGTTTAGCAAGGCGTATATTAACGCGTTGCACATTTTAATGTCCGGACTTTTCTATGGGGAAGGAATTGAGCGGTTTTCGCTCGGGGGCTCTTCCGAAATAGCTGGCACTTTATTTGTTCACAGTTTTATCACTAAAATTAACAGACGGAAAATGTTAAGTAATTTTTATTTATAAATTGGGTATTTGTTGACTTTTTTTTTCACCGCAATGACACTAAAGTGACAGATGCGGTGTTGCCAACAACATTCAGGATCAAAAAATCAATTCGAAACATGCTCTTGGTGCAATCTTAATGGAGTACTCTGAAATAGGATAATTTTGAAAGCAGGACTTCATTGCACTTGGAGCAAATAGTGCAACTAGAGTTTTTCAATTAGTTCTGCACTCAAATGGTAACTGGTTAATGACGCTGCATTCGAAATTTCTAATTCCAGTTCAACTAGAATCGATTCCTGATCAATCGTAAACTAGTTTTAATTGAAAATAGGTTTCACCAGTGACATACAGCATTAGAATCGATGCCCTTGGAGCAAAAATCTGCATTAAAATAGTCAATGCTTGATGGATATTGCATTCTTGTTAAATAAATTTGATCTTGCTGCTAGTTTGCATTAGCACTGAGTGCAATTGGTACTTACTCTTACTCTTATAAAGAACGCGACTCTGACTAAAGATAGAGTGCCGCATAGATTTCGTTACACTCGAAACAACAATTGCAATACCATAGAACACAGAAATCTGCACTTAATTTGTCAGTGCTAATATTACACTCTTGCCAAGAATATTCATCAATCTAATTTTCTTGTTTGTACTCGTACTGAGTGCAAATAGCTTGTTTGCGATTGGAAATTAATCCAAATGAATAAGATCTTTTGATTCTTTTAAAGAACGCTGCTCTGGATCAAGTGCTGAACTAATTTTGTTAAAAAGTGCATATAACTTACAACTTTTTCGGCTTTACTGCTCTCAGAGCACTCTCAATCTGGGCGGTGACGTCACAAATCTTTGCGAGAGTGCTCTAAGAGCGATTATAATTCAAACGACAGCACACCATTTGGAGTCAAAAACCAATATTTTATTCTTTCACGCTCCATACGAGAGCGTTCTATTGCTTAAGTCGAACACGTGAATCTCGCCCTGAGCAACACTCCGTGAGCCGAACATGTGAATCCGTTTCGGATCGCTTTTTGATCAATCAGGATGCAGTTTTGAAAATAACTTTGTTTGTAGATCACATTCAGAGCTAATTTAGAACTAGTTCTACGTTAATTGTTTTAATTCTGTTCCATTTACACTAACTCGATTAAATTGCTCTAGTATTGTATCTGCATTAACTCTATTTAAATTCCTTCCACTATTCGAGCTACTCTGAGTGGTCCAATTATTTTAATTTCTGTTTCATTTGCACTAAACATATTGTATTTGCACTGCTGTGATAGTAATTATTCAAACAGTAGGCTGATTTGAAAATTATTTTTGGGTTTTCTAATTCTACTCTAACTGTTCCAAGTGCACTGACTCTTTTTAATCTGTTCAACTATCCGAACTATTGAGACTGTTCTAGAGTTACTCTAAGTGTTGCAATTATTGCTTTAATTTCTGTTTCATTTGCACTAACTCTGTTATTCGCACTGCTCTGGTTATTACTGTTCAAACTACTCTATTATGCTAAAAATCACTGAATTCATTAACCTGATTTGAAAATTAATTTTGAGTTTTCAGTAGTTCTAGTCTGACTGTTTTAAGTGCACTGACTATGTTTGATCTGTTCATCTGTCCGAACTACTTTGACTTCCGTTCTGTTTACATTGCTCCGATTATCACTGTTCGAACGACTTTAATATGCTACTAGGGTGGGTAAAATCTGTTTTTTTTTTAAAGATAATTCCCCAAATCAAAAATTTAGTAACTATGTTGGCAACACAAGCCTTTTCTACATGGAACATTTGAAAGCATTGACAATTTTACATTGTATTGCCAACCTAATGTCAGTTTGACTCTTATCTTTAAAAAAAAAACGCACTTTATTATAATACTGCTTTGACAGTTAACTTGAAGTTAATTTTTTATTACATGTAATTCCAGAAGTTAACTTTAAGTTAACTCTCAAAGTAGTTTTATAATACCCGCCCTAAAAAATAAAAAAAAATTAAACTATAAACAGTATGGGCTGATTTGAACATTAATTTTGGGTTTTTAGTAATTCTACTTTGACTGTTCTCAGTGCACTAACTCTTTTCGATCTATTCACTGTCCAAATAATTACTTTGATTGTTTTAATTCTGTTCCATTTGCACTAAGGGCGGGTATTATAAAACTACTTTGAGAGTTAACTTAAAGTTAACTTCTGGAATTACACGTAATTCAAAAAGTTAACTTCAAGTTAACTTTCAAAGCAGTTTTATAATACCCGCCCTTAGGGTGGGTATTATAAAACTGCTTTGACAGTTAACTTTAAGTTAACTGCATGAATTACATGTAATTCAAAAAGTTAACTTTAAGTTAACTTTCAAAGCAGTTTTATAATACCCGCCCTAAGGGCGGGTATTATAAAACTACTTTAAGAGTTAACTTAAAGTTAACTTCTGGAATTACATGTAATTCAAAAAGTTAACTTCAAGTTACTGTCAAAGCAGTTTTATAATACCCACCCTAAATCGATTAAGGGCGGGTATTATAAAACTGCTTTGACAGTTAACTTAAAGTTAACTTCTGGAATTACATGTAATTCAAAAAGTTAACTTCAAGTTAACTGTCGAAGCAGTTTTATAATACCCGCCCTCAAATTACTCAGCATTACATCTGCATTAATTATATTTGAATTTCTTCTATTGTTCGAGTTACCCTATATTGCTTGAATTTCGGTTTTATCTGCACCAACTCTGTTCTGTTTGCACTGCTCTGATTATTACTGCTCTAACTATTCTAATAGACTGTTCATTTGTACCATCGTCACCAAAAGTATCTGGGACAAAAATAATGCATAATAATCTCCTGGACTAATTCCACTGTCATTCATTTCAATGCATTTGATTAATAGTTTGACAAATATATTTGACAATAAAATTCATATAATAGTACAAGAGCTAATATGATGCTGTCCCAGTTACTTTTGGTGATGATGGTACTTGCTCTACCTACTCGAAAATCTACTAAGGGTGGATATTATAAATCTACTTTGCGAGTTAACTTAAAGTTAACTTCTGAAAATTAGGGCGGGTATTATAAAACTGCTTTGACAGTTAACTTGAAGTTCCAATCTGCTGAGATCTGCTTGAAGCAAGAAAAGCAGTACAAATGAACACCCTATTAATGTTACTAAACAATGGATTTATTCACTATAACTAAGTGTTCCAATTGCTCAAATTTCTACTCTAAGCATTTTATCTACATTAAATCTACATATTTGAATTATTCTGTATTGTTCAAGTTACCAAAGGCGTTTTCTCACGTTCACTTTTTTGAAACTGGTTCAAAACTGTTTTGAAACAGTACATTCTCGCGATAAACCGTCAAAATTGGTTCAAACCGTCTCGAAATACAATCCAATCCATGTTTTCAAACCATTTTCTCGTGCCGAGAAATTATGACGTCATGGTGACATTACTTGGACCAGTTTTGAAAAATGTTTTGAAACATTTGAGCAGCGAGAAAACGCCTCAAGTGGTCCAATTGTTTCAATTTCTGTTTCATCTGCACTAATTCTGTTCTGTTTGCACTATTTTAATTGTTACTGTTCGAACTGCTCTATTTTGTTACGAATCAATGAATTTATTTACTCTATAAAAGTAGGCTGATTTGAAAATAATTTTCGGTTTTTAGTAATTCTACTCTGACTGTTCCAAGTGCACTGACTTCTTTTTGATCTGTTCAACTGTCCGAACTTCTTTGTTTTAATTCTGTTCCATTTGCACTAACACGATATTAATTACTTAATTAATTAAATATTCCATCTGCAATACTTCTATTTGAATTTTTTCTACTGTTCGAGTTACTCTAAGTGTTCCAATTGCTTTAATTTCTGTTTCATTTGCACTAACTCTGTTTTGTTTGCACTGCTCTGATTGTTACTTTTCGAACTACTCTATCATGCTATTAATCAATGAATTTTATTTACTATACCAATAAGCTGATTTGAAAATTAATTTTGGGTTTTTAGTAATTCTATTGTGACTGTTTCAAGTGCACTGACTCTTTTTGATCTGTTCAACTATCTGAATTACTTTGACTGTTGAGGTCAATAGTTGAACAATCCCAGAACCGTTCCAAATTTCTAACCGAAACAAAGCTCATGAATGCAACTAGTTCATAAGTACTCGAATCTGTTCTTAATTATATACTAGTAATAAAGCTATTAGCGTTTCAGAACAATATATATTTGGAGCAGCATATTCAAATAGTTCCGAATTAGTTCTAAATCCTACTATAAACGGAGTTATTAGTTTTGTTCGCGAAAACCATTCCGAACCAGTTTTAAATTAGTTTTTGGAAACCTAGAACTAATTCCGAACTGATTCGAAATTGATTTTGGTGAAACCGTGAACAAAGAAAAAATTAAAGAAAATTCGAAATTCAAGGATTCGAGAACAGTTAGAACAAAATAGTTCTAAATTGTATTGTGAACAGAGCTACTCTGAATCACTTATGAGCATGACTCAGGCCTAATTTGTAACCAATTCAGAGCCGCGTTTTTCCGAGTTATCTATCAACTCTCAAAAAGAAGGAATCACAAGACTCCAACTACTGTGACGAGCTGTTTTCTCGCGGTGCAACTTGTTCGATCCGGTTCCATTAGGTTCGAACCTGTACATTTTTACGTTGGACCAGTGACGTCACACTGTGGTTTAAACCTAAGGATGATACACACTACTACTATAGGATAGCCTATTCTCATAAGGCCTGTGTGGAACAAAGCCCCCCTTTCCCCCTCCACTTTGAATCACCAGTTGTGACGTAGCAGCATGTTATTTTTCGTTTTGACGTATAGGCTTTCTAAATAGCTAACGACTTATAGCGAATTCCATTGGTAAAATAGATGTAATTTTTTTTTTATCTCTTTCTTATGCAAATTGGTAAAAAAATATACGAATACACTCAATGCGTACTAACCCTTCCAATGAAATTCGCTATTATAGTTATGACGTCGGAAATGGTGACATGCCAATAGTTGTATTCCTTTCAAGAGTTTGAAACACTCGAGCTACTCGCTCCGGTGTTTAGTAGCCAGGGAACAGATGTGTATTGCGACAAACACTTTTCGAAAAGCATAAGCGCGTGAAGCCCTGGAACGCCTCCTACGTGTGAAAGGAATACAACTATTTATGGCGGCGATTACCAAAAACTAGGTTGATAAACAATCCTGTGGGTGTGTATCATCCTTGGTTCAAATCTTCCTATTTCTCGTGTTCACGAGTGATGACGTCTACAAATTGGTTTTAACCGTAGTTCGAACTATTCGCCCCGCGACAAAATGCCTATGGTTTGAGGGAAAAGAAAGGAATTTTCAAAAGCCAAATACAGAAATATACCTACACGAAGGGACACGTCGCTTAAAAAGTGTGTCACTCAGAGTCACTGGTGTAACAAAAACGCGAATCAGGAGTGTTTAGAGTTCAGGTCGAATAGTTTGTTTTGGTTCGAAATTTAGAACGGTTCTAGGATTGCGAAGAACTGCTTGCGGATAAAAAATAATGGAAAACTGTTCTTTTTTACTAGTTTTAGATTCGGAACCAAAAAAACCAAAACAAGTTGCATGTCATAAAGATCACAAAGCTCTAAAACAGTTCTTGTTTCAGAGCAAGAATTGAGAGAACCGTTCCAGAACAATCCCAGAATTATTCTTATACACAGTGCGTTTGGTATTTTGAAGCTTGAATTTATCGTTCGTTTATTTAAAAAGTGTGCTCGGTGCAGGCTCATTTGCGATTTGCGTTCGTTTATTAAAATTTTGAGCGCTCTGATCAATGAACGCTTTTAGTAGTTGTATTCCTTTCAAGAGTTTGAAACACTCGAGCTACTCGCTACGGTGCTTAGTCGCCCCCGATTTACAGGGAACAAATACGTGGTGCAACAAACACTTTTCGAAAGAAATGAGCGTGTGAAGCCCCGGAGCTGTTCTGGAGCTCCTCCTAGATGTGAAAGGAATACAACTAATACGGCGGTTATAACTGCTCTGTGCGCTCGCTGGTCAAGTGATTATGGCTTCCCTTCGGCACGCTTTGCACTTTGAGCAAAATACCCAAGCATAGTTTTAAATAATTCAAGATGTTTTCTTTTTAAAAGCATGTAAAATATAAGGATCAAAGTATTTTTTTTTGTACTGGCCTTTTCGGGTGCTACTCTTCGAGCGCTCCTGAGTTACTCCGATTACAGTTCGAGCCGTTCGGGGAATTAGAGCATTTTCTAAAGAATTATTTCCATTTGATTTGAATAATTTAATAAGGAAGTACCTAAAGGGGTTTGATCGTAAGCAGCTTTCCAAGGAAAAACTAAAACAAGCTGCATCACAAAACTCAAAATCGGTTCCGGTTTCAGAGCAAGAATAGAAAAAAACGTTCCAGAACAATTACAAAAGTGTTTTTATATGATTCAAATCGTTATTACGATCCAAGTTTTATTCGCACCAAATCACAATCGGTTCGGGATTTTGTTTTAGCCCAACTATTCCGGAGCAGGATCGATTTTGAACTAGTTCTAGTGCCGCAAGACAACAGGGCTGGAATCACGACAATTAGAATTCTACTTAAATGACGTCAGGTTGTCTAGCAACCATCATCATCGCCTTTACTGTAAGCAATAAATAGATTGCAGGGTGACGTCATGAAAGTAGAATTCTACTCGGCCTATAGGATTTTTTGCGGAACAAATTTATTTGCACTCTGGGCAAAAGGTGCAGCAACAATTTCAAGAAAGTTTTGAAAATCAGCACTGAAATGGTTGATGAATGACTAAATTTTGCACTCTTGCCAAATTAGTTCGATCAGGGTCGGTTTCTCAATAGCGAGTCACTTCCGGATTGATTTTAATCCAACTCCAGAGTAAACGTGTCCAGTTGCAATGTTTACTTTGCAGTTACGCCTAACCCGGAAGTGACTCGCTAATATAAGAAACCGATCCGTGCTATGATTTTGCACTCGCGTTGGCTACACGAACTTTGTTTGCGAATCACATGTTGAACTGACTCCAGTTGACAACTAATTCGGAGCTGTTTTTTGAGACACAACCTTCGGAGCTGTTCCTTTGGAGTCATCTGGAGTAACTCCCAACAGGAACGCCTTTTTAACTTTGAACCGATGGAGTGCGTTTAGAAATGGAGTATGAGGGTAAAGTTGTTGTTTGTCAGAGTGTTCTGACGTCATCACTTGAAGTGCACTATGCCTGAACGTATTGGGGTGTTGCGGTGGACGCCAATGTCATGAATCGCGTCAAACCCGGTGATCTGAAAGGTGAATCGTGGATTAAAAGTTTACTCCAAATTCAAAGTATGTAGGTACTTCAATAAATAATTGGCAATGTGAAAACCACGGGGCGTTTTTCAACCCTGTCCCTGAGGGCCGGTTTCTCAATAGCGAGTCACCTCCGGGTTAAGCATAACTCCAGGGTACACATAGCATCTGGACACGCTTACCCTGGGGTTAAAACTAACCCAGAGGTAACTCGCTATTGAGAAATCGGCCCTGAGTGGGGTAATTTGGGCGCACTCTCGATTCCAGCGTAACGCTCCGAGTAAGCACCTGGTAATTTATGAACGGTTTAGTTACTCTAGGGTCACTCTCACACTCAGAGTGCTATTTCTAAAAGCAACCATGGAGTAGGGTAGGATTTGATCTGAAACGTAACAGTGTTGCCTACCAAATTTTATTTTTTATTGGAGATTGGATTTGGCAACATCTCCTTCACTTTTAATAAATATTTAAAAAAATCAAACAACAATTTTCTTAAGATACAAACAAATATATTTGTATAATTAATCACCCGCTCATTTTGCTTTCTTAGACTTAATTTTTCTCATATAGAATTCTAATTCTTTGCCTTCCAAGATGTAACCGTCGGCTCGACCGCACTGTCCTGGTCTTGAGGCTAGACAAGCTAGAAGAAAACAAAAATAACAATTAAAATAATTATTAAAACAACTTAAATAATTAATACAAAAATTAATAAAAATCAGAGTAACTATGACAAGCTTGATCATTGAACACTGCAAGAAATCAACCTAAAACAGGTTGATTTCTTATAAAATTGTGAACTCGCTAAAGTTTTTTCATCATGATTTTTGGGCACTTTTTTTGACAATTGACAGATAAACAATGCTTTTAACGTCAACTGTTAAATAATTTCTTAACTTACCCAACAATCTACCAGTCTGAAATTGTTCTTCTATCGCAGGTTCAACCTTGGCGATTTTCTGTCTGTTTTCGTATTTCTTTTGGACTTTTTTGCTCCTCTTTTTTGTCAAAATTGCCTCTTCTTCTGCTGTCTGAAACAAACAAAATTGTCAACGAAATTCCAACTTTCAATAATGTGAAACATCAATTAAAAAAATCAGTTGCATGCAAATTTTTAATCATAGGATTGCAATTGTATCAGATGACACGCATAAAAATCATCATAATAATTTTTTTGAGGTTAGAAAATGTGCTTGAATTTCAAAGCCCCATAACTTCAAAACCCCTTAAGCTAGGCAACTGAATTTTGTACCAAATTACTTACCAGTTTAGCTCCCTTCTTTCTACCCAAAGGCAAAATATAGTGCGTCTCATACCATTGCCTGAACGGAGTGGCGTCAACAACAACAATAGCATTTTTCACCAAAGTCTTGGTACGAACCAATTCATTGTTGCTAGCATTGTATACAACGTCGATAATACGAGTTTTCCTGGCAGTACCTTCGCTAGCCCAAGCGAAATTGCCAGTGTCAATTCTGAGGGCACGGTACTTGATGTTGCCCCCTCTGGTACGGACATAATGGATTCTGCGGGCTCCCAATTTCGTATTGGCAGCTGGACGTCCTAATTCGAACTTCCTCTTCTTACGCAGGGGCTTCCTTTTGCCACCGGTGGCACGTCTTTTATGCCAATGATCACGACTGATACCTGAAATGTTAATTCATTTAAATAACAGAAAATTTAAGTTGAGGATTTGAGGATTTTGGGGCCAAACTTCAGATCGCTGTGGGATGTTATGGAGTCGTCAGCACAACACATCGGACTTTACATTTTTAAGTTATCATCATGTTATATGGGGGTTTCGACAACAAGAGATGTTTTGCAAGTTTTCCAAAGGAAATAACAAATTTACCAGAAAAATATTACAGCGAAACGTAAACCAATAAACTACACTGGATTATTACTAGGCATTTAGGGCAAAATATCATCGCCATCGATGGATGATTGAAGATTATTTTTAAAATAAATACGGCACACTACCTACCCATTTTGGTTTTTGACTGGAAAGGAACTACATTCTACAATGGCAAGTGACGTACGATATGCGCCATGCTTGAAAAACAGTGTTGCCAATTTGATTTTTTTAGGCGCTTTCTTTCAGTTGATCTTTGATGTTTGTAAAAATTTCAAATTTTTAAATACAGTTCTCTGTTCGTAATTCTGCTGAAATCTATTCTGAATTAGTTTTAACAGTTCTAACTGTTCGAAATCCTTGAGTGATTGTTTTGAGTTTTCTGCTCCGAAATATAATCCTGAACTGGTTATTAGCTTAGAAAACGTTCTAAATTAGTTCCAAAATAGTTCAGAGTCGCATTAATCAAAACGTACGAGTACGAAATTGAACCTATAAATGGATTGGTTCGAATTGCTCACTCTGTGCATTTCAAGTAATCCTTGTTCACTCCGACTGTTCGGGTTAGTTTGGATCGGCACTTTAATGTAAAGTAATTTACGTTCACAGTCTCTAGTAATCTTAGAGCTAAATATGACAAGAAAGCTGTTCTAATTCTATTTCAATTTAAAATGTTGCCACTCACTCCGAATGATTCCGAACAAATAACACTGAATTTTGCATCTTAAAGAACCCGGTTGAAAATCAGTTCTGAATGTTATTTTGGATCAGTTTTCAACCGATTCAAAACGTACGAAACTAAATTCATGAATGGATTGGTTCGAACTGCTCACTCTGTACACTCTAAATAATTTTTGTTCACTCCGACTGTTTGGGTTAATTTGGATTGACTCTTTAGTGTAGAGTAATTTACGGTCACATTCAAAGTCGAGTAATGAAGCAAAAGTCTTACGTCAAATAAGGAGCTCTATCTCTCGCTCTCTGATAGTCTTAGGGCTGATATTTTTACTCTCGATTAACGAATTTGATATATTGTCAAATTTTTGCATTGGCCAAGTTCTAAAGTATGATGTGGTAAGAGTAGATTCTAACCCCTGATCATTTTTAATGGCTGTCAAATGAGAGCAAAAGTACCGGCACTTTAGAGCATTTCTTAGAGCTAAATATGACAAAAAAACTGTTCTAACTTCACTTCGGGTGGGTTCCGTTCTCAACCTTGGTTACGGTTACACGTTCCGTAATGTCTCGTTCCTGAAAAACCGGTCTATACGGAACGCGGTTGGTTATGTCAAACATGTCACCAAGGCAACTGGCGGCGATTCCGTCGGGTTCATTAGGGCTGCGTTCAGGAATGGCTACAGCCAAGCCAAAATTGGCATTTTGCGTTCGAGTTCGGCTTTGACTTACGTGGTTCAGCATTACCGGTGGAGGGGGAAAAGTAGGTTTTGGCATTAGCATTGCCGTCTTTGAACGCACCCCGGGGCTGCGTTCAGGAATGGCTACAGCCAAGCCAAAATTGGCATTTTGCATTCGAGCTCTGCTCCAACCTACGTGGTTCGGCATTACCGGAGGAGGGGGAAAAGTAGGTTTTGGCATTAGCATTGCTGTCCTTGAACGAACCCCAGGACGTAGCGCTACAATAGCGATCAGCAGCAGTGTTGCCAAATTTTTACAATTGTGGCAAATTTTATCCCTGTTCTTCTCACCAAAAGGAAAAAAAGATGGAAAATGGTCCGAGCGCTCAGTGTTTCAAGCGGAACTCATTAATTTTAATAATTTTTGGTTGAATAAGTGAAAATATAATAGATTTATTGGAAATATAATAATGTAAATAATTAACCTTTGATAAATGTAATAGATTTGCTATATTTGTAATAAACTGGCAACACTATTGATGATCGCTACTGTAGCGCTATGTCCTGGGGTGCGTTCAAAGACGGCAATGCTTATGCCAAAACTTACTTTTCCCCCTCCACCGGTAATGCCGAACCATGTAGGTTGGAGCCGAACTTGAACGCAAAATGCCAATTTTGGCTTCGCTGTAGCCATCCCTGAACGCAGCCCTGATGAACTCGACCGTTTGATTGGAAAAGCGTTTCGAATTAAAGCCTAGTACTCATAACTGCGAAATTCGCATTTTTTTGACATTGCTTCGACAAATTGACGTTTAATGCGTGTATCAAACGTCAAATTGTCAACGCAATGTCAAAAAAATACGAATTTTGCAGTTATGAGTACTAGGCTTAAGCCCCTGAGTACTAGGCTTAAGCCTAGTACTCATAACTGCGAAATTCGCATTTTTTTGACATTGCTTCGACAAATTGACGTTTGATACACGCATAAAACGTCAAATTGTCAACGCAATGTCAAAAAAATGCGAATTTCGCAGTTATGAGTACTAGGGAGGCAGTGGTACTAGGCTTTAAACCGAAATTTTCAGCAACCGCTTGTCAATCGTTGTCAACCGCTGTCAACCGACATTGTACCGACCGGTTAACCAGGTTAGACAACGGAACTCACCCTTCAACTTGAAGGGTTCCCACTCACTCCGAATTATTCCGAACGAATGATACTGGATTTTGCATCTAAAAGAACCCAGTTGAAAGTCAATTCGGAATATGATTTTCTATCAATTCAAAATAAATTCGAAACGTACAAAATTAATTCATGAATGGATTGGTCGGATTCCTCACTCTGAGCACTCTAAGAAATCCTTCTTTACTCTGACTGTTAGGGTTAGTTTGGGTCGGCTCTTTAGTGCAGAGTAATTTACGTTCATAATAGTTGTATTCCTTTCACACCTAGGAGGAGCTCCGGAACAGCTCCGGCGCTTCACGCGCTTATTCCTTTCGAAAAGTATTTGTTGCACCACGCATATGTTCCCTGCAAATCGGGGGCGACTAAGCACCGAAGCGAGTAGCTCTAGTGTTTCAAGCTCTTGAAAGGAATACAACTATTCCAACTCAAGTAAATGCAATAAAAGTCATATGTACTTCAAAAAAGGAGCTCCCTCTCTAGTGATCTTAGAGCTAAATATGACAAAAAAACTGTTCTAACTTTACTCTAACTTCAAATGTAACCACTCATTACAAATGACTCCGAACGAATGACACTGGATTTAACGAAGAACTGCTATCGGCGAAATTCACGTATTCGACTTGAGCAATAGAACGCTCTTGAATCTAGCACAGAGCACTCTTCTTTCTCCTTCAAATTGGATGGATCAAAGAGTTTGATTAAAACAAAAAAGTACATTCGGTTCAAGGTTGTTTGAACGAAATAAGTTGCCCGATAATTTTATGACGTCATCTGGGGACTCTGGGGTCCTTCAGCAGCTAGTAGTTTTATTCCTTTCAAGAGTTTAGAGCACTCGAGCTCTGGTGTTAATCGCCCGCGATTTGTAAGGAATAGATGCGGGGTGCAAGAAACACTTTTCGAAAGGAACAAGCGCGTAACCCCGAAGCTGTTCAGGAGCTCCTCTTAGGTGTGAAAGGAATACAACTATAATGCAAATCTTCATGCACCCCAGATACGTCATCAAGTTACCCTTTACCAGGCAATTTATTAACTTTACGAACCTTGCATTCGGTTAATAATTTCAAATGGTGTGTCCTCGTTTGAATTATAATCACTCTTGGAGCACTCCTGCAGAGGTCTGTGACGTCACCGCCCATTCAGAGAGTGCTTAAGGAGCAGATGTAACTAATGGTGTTTCCGATTGGTAGATTCAGTGCGCACTGAGTGTATTTGCATCCTTTTAATCGACCTGTAGAAGAAAAAGACAGGAATAGAAAAAATTGCACTAGTTCCGCACTAGATCTACCAATCGGAAACGCCATAAGGTTAGGTGTTTAAATTTTCCGCTGTAAAGGAGAATCCTACTAATTTATAGTTTGATTGACGTTTGACAACCAAAAAGAGTTCCAAAATGGTTTAGAACCGGTTAAAAATGTAATTTAAGAACAAAACTTTTTGTACAACGATAATGAGCAGATCACTAAATTAATTTTCATTGTAGTTCGTTGTTCGCAGTTCAATTAGATTGGGTTCCGGATCTACTCCATTTTAAATTTTCGAAATTGTTCAGAGTAAAATAAAATCTTGAACTGATTCATAACTACTAGGAATGCGCTCTACGACAATTCCGAGGTGGCATTCCGTTCACACTAAAATCAAATCAAATCAAATCAAAATAAGCTTTATTGTACAGAAAAATAATTTTCATTGACAAAGCAATTCATTACAATAAAAACTAAAACGACTACTACCACTATTACATTTAAAGGAACTTCAATAAAAAACAGAAATTAACAAGAATACACCAACAAACTTACAATTATAAAATTTGATCATTAGTTAAAATACACATAATCTACAGATTTCAATGCATCTGCAGTTAACCCTCTGGTAAAATTCATTAAGACCATAGTAAGCTCTGGCGACTAAAAACCTCCTCACAGACACACAAAACTGGCAATAGTCGTTGATGTTTCGTAAGTAATTCCCGGGGTAAATGATTGAACATTTTTATGCTCTCATAAATAATCGAGTGTTTTGTCAATGCAAGTCTAGGAATAGGTAGGGGCAATTGATTGTGTCGAAGGCTATACGCTCTCTTTTGCACAAATCCAGAAAACTTTTTAAATATCAAACTGACAGACTCAAGAATAAAAATGCAAGGTACAGTCAAATATTTCTTCTTGCTTAAATAAGGGTCTACATGTGTCTCTACAGCCCACACCACATAGATATCTTATGGCTCTCTTTTGCAGTATAAATACTGATTGAATTGATCTTTGCACGGAGTATCCCCAAAAAGCTATCCCATATCTTACATGTGCCTCAAATAATGAAAAGTATGTCTGTCTGGCTGTTCCTTTGTCAAGTTCATGAGAAATAGTTCTAATGATATAGCAGGCACTTGCTAATTTTTTCGTTAGGCAATTTATGTGAGGCTCAAACTTCAACTGTGAATCAATGTGCAGACCCAGAAACTTCACTGTGGTTCTATTCTCTAATGTTTCATTTTGTAGCATGATATCATTTAGAGCACACTTGAAAGTCAGTATATTTGTTTTCTGTATGTTGAAGCAGAGCGCATTGGCATCACACCACCCCTTAATTTGTGAAAGATCGTTCTCTATAACTGTCTTTTAGATGGTTGGATTTTCTTTCGTAGTCCATAATATATTTGTGTCATCAGCAAACGCTACCATCTTCGCAGATACTGGTAAGGAGAGCAAGTCATCGATGTAGACAGGAATAGAATCGGCCCCAAAACCGAACCCTGTGGCACTCCGTGTAAGATTCCCTCTGCACCCGAATCAACACCACCATTACCTAGTGGAATTGAATCGACTTTGTCGTTACAGCGATTCTGTTCACAGGTTGTGATCGAAAAAAAGCGACTTCTCGCGTCAAATCGATCGCTGCGTTTCGGTGAAGCAAGGGGTGTCGCCTGTAAAATCGCTGAACGGAATCGTTTTGATTCATAGAGTCGTTAGCGACATCGCCCCAATTCGATCGCATTTTAGCGTGAACGAAATACGGCCCCTGGCCCGAGATCACGACAAGTAGAATTCTACTTTCATGACGTCACCTGCGACCTATTTATCCCATACAGCACAAGCGATGATGACGGTTGCTAGACAAACTGACGTCATGAAAATAGAATTCTAGTTGTCGGGATCCCAGCCCTGATCTAGTCCCAAATTGGTTCTGAATGTGATCCGCAAGTCTTTGATTCTAAATTTTCTTTGTTCCGGAATCGTTAAAAGAAAAATAGGCTTTGAACTAGTTCATAACAACTAAACATGCACTGTATGACAATCATCCCAAATTCATTTGAGTTCATGTCTGCAAGTCTATTAGAATCGGTTCCAGATTGACTCTAAACTAGTTTTATCAGCTCTATATTATGAATTAGTTCCAAATTGGTTCGTAATGTGATCCGCAAACAAAACTAATAACTTTGGCAGTGAAACTCGGAACTGATTGAAATTTTTTCTTTTCGAATATCACTATTTCGATTGAAATTAAAATAGTTCTTTGTTCGCAGTTCAATGAAAATAGGTTGCGGATCGATTCAGAAATAGTTCTACTGGTTCTACAATTCGAAAATATTCAAAATGGAACAAAATTAAAATAGTTAAAGTACTCTAGACAGAGTAAAAAGAGTCAGTGTACTTAGAACAATCAGAGTAGGATAACTAAAAATTCAAAATAGTTTTCAAATCAGCATACTGCTTTAGTTAATAAATTCATTGATTAGTAGCATAATAGAGTAGTTTGAACAGTAACGATCAGAGCAATGCAAACAAAACAGAGTTAGTATGAATGAAACAGAAATTAAAGCAATTAGAACACTTAGAGTAGTTCGAACAATAGAAGAAATTCAAATAAAACTAATACAAATGGAATGCTTAAAGTAATTTAAATCGAGGTATTGCAAACAGAATTAAAACAGTCAAAATATTTCGGACAGTTGAAGAGATCAAAAAGAATCAGTGCACTTAAAACAGTCCACAGTCAGAGTAGAATTATTAAAAATCTAAAAAAATTTCAAATCAGCCTAATGCTATAAGTGAATAAATTCATTGTTTACTGGTATATTAGAGTAGGTAATTCAAATAGTTATAATCAGAGCAGTATAATTAAACAGAACAAAGTAAGAGCAGAGGAAACAGAAATTAAAGCAATTGGAACATTTAAAGTAAACGGTATTCAGATAGAATAATTAATGCAGATAGAATACTTGAGTATGGAACAGAATAGGAACAAAGTAGTTCAGACAGTTGAACAGATCAAAAAGTGAACTTCGTTGACCAGTCAGAAACAACTACTCCGAGGGCAAATACCCCTACGTTGAACTACACTGATTGGTCTGAGCTTTCGTTGGCAATGAAAATTGTTAGAAAGATTTTTTCAGGTAATGATCAACGTAAATACAGGGACACAACAGTCCCTGTTTGGGAATCGACCCACTGAGCAGTGGACTCAGGCTTCCCGTGCCAATCCTTGACGCGTTTTGTCCTTGTTAGGACTCATCAGAAGGACATAGGCTAAAGCTCCCTGTCCAAGCAAAATAGATCAAAAAGTGTCAGTGCACTTGGAACAATCAGAGTAAAATTACTGAAAACTTATAGTTTTCAAATCAGCCTACTGTTATAGTGAATAAATTCATTGTTTAGTAGCATATTGGAGTAGTTCGGACAGTAATAATGAAAGCAATGCAAACAGAACAGAGCTGGTACAGATGAAATAAGAATTAAAGCAATTGAAACAGTTTATAGTTGTATTCCTTTCACACCTAGGAGGAGCTCCGGAACAGCTCCGGGGCTTCACGCCCCTATTCCTTTCGAAAAGTGTTTGTTGCACCACGCATCTGTTTCCTGCAAATCGGGGGCAACTGAACACCGGAGCGAGTAGCTCGAGTGTTTCAAACTCTTGAAAGGAATACAACTATTCTAACTCGAACAAACGAAGAAATTCAAATAGAATTTATACAAATGGAATACTTAAGGCAATTTAAATCGAATCAGTGCAAATAAAACAGGATTATGTCGACGTACTATTAGACTGTGAGATAGGGGCTGTTTTACGGAGTCATATTTTTTTTTTGTCTGGCATTTTCAGGGCTGAATGTGGCTACTAAGCTGATGAGAATATGGGTGATTTTAATGCCGGCCTCCCATTCGAAAATTTGCAGAAGAAAAAAATTGATTTACATGAAGAATTTTTTTTTAATGATCTCAAATTTTCTAGCTTTTAAATAAAAGATTGACATTGATAAATAATTCACCCATGAAAAATATCAGATGCTTTTCAATAGCTGAAAAAATGGGGATGGGTGTCAACTTCCAAGAGAAAAGAGAAGAACCTTCCGCGTTTACTGTTTGTCTGGCAATCGAGAGAATGAAAGGTTTTGTTGTGAAAATAACGCTGAAAAATCGCCAGACGGTAATCACAGTTTGAAATCGAGTTTTCCGGCGAAACATTCTGTGGACATTTTGAACAGGAGGCAGGCATTAAAACCACTTATATTCTCATCAGCTAACTAGTCACATTAATCCCTCAAAATGCCAGACAAAAAAAAAATGACTCCACTAAACAGGCCCCATCTCAGAGGGTCTATATTATAGTGAATAAATTCATCGTTTAGTAGCATATTGGAGTAGTTCGAACAGTAAAAATGAGAGCAGTGCAAACAGAACAAAGTTAATGCAGATGAAATAGGCATTCAAATAGAAATAAAAGCAGATGGACAGGAACACGGTTATGAGCCGTGTTCGTTTTTGTCATCTTTTTCGTCTGATCTAATTACGTCCCTGTCAAAATTTCGGAGCAAATCAATGAAAAAGACGACAGAAACGAATTCAGCCATAGGCTAATTCATTGATTATTAGCATAATAGAGGCCGAGTTCGTTTTTGTCATCTTTTTCGTCGATTTGCTCCGAAATTTTGACAGGCACGTGACTGGATAGAACAGTTTCAATTTACAAATCACGCGCTTGTCAAAATTTCGGAACAAATCGACGAAAAAGATGACAAAAACGAACTCGGCCAGAGTCGTTCGAACAGTAACAATCGGAGCAGTGCACAAAACAGAATTAGTGTAGATGAAACAGAAATAAAAGCAATAGTTCTTTTCACGTGGCTCCGGTTTAACTAACCGGGTTACAAAACGGTTATAGAAATGACATACCGTTTTCTAACCCGGTTACAAAGTGACGTGATGGATGCCTACCACTCGAATTTGAGCGGTATGTTAAATATTAGAGTAGTTCGATCGAACAGTAACAATCAAAGCAGTGCAATCAGAACAGAGATTAAATCAAAATTCAAAACTCTTTTCGGGATCAACAATTAATGTGAACACGCCGTTACAAGTTGTTTATGGTTCTGGTTGAAGCTCTAATACTAGTTTTAAAACTAATTCAGAATTGATCCGGATCCCATTTTAGTGGAACCACGAAAAGAACGATTCAGAACCAGTTTGAAACTAAATTCAAGCATAATGGGTTCGAATTGCTCACTCCGGGCACTATTTGTAATCCAACTGTTCGGGTTCACTCTTATAAAAAGAAAAATTTGGTTGGCAACCCGGCCACGTGTCAAATGTCAAGCTAAATGCTAAATCCATTTCCTTTGTTGAAAATTATAATAAACAAAACCCAAACAAATTTATTTAAATAAATTGTGTTTTGTTCTCTTAAAACTCAATTACCAACTTACAATGGCAAATACAAACACAGATCTTACCGAAGAAGACGCCGCCGACTTACAATTCCCCAAAGGTAAGTCCCTTTCGTTTATTCACCCCTCTAAACTCTGGAAAACTAAAAAATTTCAGACCAAACATCTACAATCGCAGCGAAAAACGTCGTGTTGGGCTATTGCTCGCACTGCTACCGCGAACTACTCGCTCGCTACATTTTCTGTGACCAGTGCAAAATCCACGTGTGCTTGGAATGTTTTGCCGCCGGTTCCGAGTTCGGTACCCACAAAAACGACCACAATTACAGAGTTTTTAGTACAAATTTTTTGCTGTTTGAGAACTCTGATTGGACAGCTGAAGAGGAGCTCCAATTACTCGAATCCCTTCATTTTTATGGCAATTGGAATTTGGTTGCACTAAACTTCCCCAAAAGGAATATTGAAGAAATCAAAGACCATTATGAGTATTTTTATTTGAACAGGAATGGACATAAGGCAATACCAATATACAAAGCTTATACTCCTATTGCAGTACCAAGTGTGCCTTATAGATTAAAAACTTCTGACAGTGATGATCCTCCTCGTTACGCTCCAAATACTGTAGGTTATCAGTCATTGGCCGGCTATAATGCTCCTAGGGGCGACTTTGAAAACGAATTTGACAAAAACGCTGAAGACTTAATAGCCCCCATGGATTTCATAAAACGCTCCCATCCTGATTACGAAATTATGACCAACTTGCAATATGCCATAATTCAATGCTACAATGATAGGCTCAGGGAGAGACAAAAAAGGAAGAACTTGATTGCTAAGCATGGCCTGTTAGTGCTCAGAAGAAATTTCTCTTGGTTGAACAGGTTTGACAGCTCCATTACGAAGGATATTTGTCAGAAGCTTATAAGGTTTATGCACTTGGCTGAGCCCACTGACTTTGAGATGCTGATGGAGGGGTTGAACAAGGTTGGAGAGTTGAGGATTAGGATCCAAAGGTGAGAACTTGAGATAATATTTTGATAGAAATTTTCATTAATATTTGCTTCATTTAGGTACCTATGATTTGATTATTCTGTGAGAAATTTAATAAAGTTGAAAAGAATCATGTTTATTCTAAATTTTCAGAAACGATTTTGATTGGTTTATGCGAGGGTTTATGTCATTCCTAACAAAAAATATGTACGGAGCACCCTGCATATTCAAAAATATTTTTAACTAATGCACCTTAGAGTTTTACTTTACAAAACATTATTTTACTAAAATCATAACTCCATTAATAATAACTCAATCGCTTTGAGTTTTCAGTATTTTTTACATTGAACCTTTATGAAAAAGTCCTGAAAATTTCAACTCTCCACTCACTTTAGTTTTTGAGTAAAAAAATTGTTTGTAAAGTCCTACTTTACAAAACATTATTATTAAAAAAAAAACATAACTTCATTAATAATAACTCAATGGCTTTGAGTTTTGAGTATTTTTTACATTGAAACTTTAGGAAAAAGTCCTCAAAATTTCAACTCTCCACTTATTTTAGTTATTGAGTGAAAAAAATTGTTTGTAGAGTTTTACTTTACAAAACATCATAATTTGGAAAAAAATCATAAGTCCGTTAATAATAACTCAATCGCTTTGAATTTTCAGTATTTTTTACAATGAACCTTTAAGAAAAAGTCCTCAAAATTTCAAGTCTCCACTCACTTTAGTTTTTGAGTGAAAAAATTGTAAAGTCTTACTTTACAAAACATTATTATTTAAAAAAAATCAGAACTCCATTATTTATAACTCAATTGCTTTAAGTTTTTAGTATTTTTTACATTGAACCTTTAGGAAAAAGTCCTCAAAATTTCAACTCTCCACTGACTTTAGTTCTTGAGTGAAAAAATTGTGTGTAAAGTCTTACTTTACAAAATATCATTATTTTAAAAAAATCATAACTCCATTAATAATAACTCAATGGCTTTGAGTTTTCAGTATTTTTTACATTGAAACTTTAGGAAAAAGTCCTCAAAATTTCAACTCTCCACTTATTTTAGTTATTGAGTGAAAAAAATTGTTTGTAGAGTTTTACTTTACAAAACATCATAATTTGGAAAAAAAATCATAAGTCCGTTAATAATAACTCAATCGCTTTGAATTTTCAGTATTTTTTACAATGAACCTTTAGGAAAAAGTCCTCAAAATTTCAAGTCTCCACTCACTTTAGTTTTTGAGTGAAAAAATTGTAAAGTCTTACTTTACAAAACATTATTATTTAAAAAAAATCATAACTCCATTATTAATAACTCAATTGCTTTAAGTTTTTAGTATTTTTTACATTGAACCTTTAGGAAAAAGTCCTCAAAATTTCAACTCTCCACTGACTTTAGTTCTTGAGTGAAAAAATTGTGTGTGAAGTCTTACTTTACAAAATATCATTATTTTAAAAAAATCATAACTCCATTAATAATAACTCAATGGCTTTGAGTTTTTAGTATTTTTTCCATTGAACCTTTAGGAAAAAGTCCTCAAAATTTTAACGTTTTACTCATTTTAATTTTTGAGTGAAAAAATTGTTTGTAAATCACAACTCCATTAATAATAACCCAAGCGCTTTGAATTCCCCCCCCCCCCCCCCCCCCCCCAAAATAATCATGTATGGATCGCCACTGGTTGCTAAATTGTACTTGTACTATGTGTGTACTTACAATTTACATGACTGCTCAAAATAATTGTATTACTTAACATTTGACCGCAATTGAATATGTAATGACGTCACAACCGTTTTCTCATAATTAAAATTGAATTTTTAGAATTTTCTGACAATTGAATTTTTGGAATTTTTTGACAATTGATTTTTTTTTTATTTTGCCAATTGAATTTTTCAAATTTTTTGACAATTGAATTTCTCAAGTTTTTTCGACTATGAATTCTTGACCAGTTAAAACATCGAATTTTTTCATAATTGAATTTTTGGAATTTAAAAAAAAAAACAAACTCAATTGTCAAAAAAAGTTCAACTGGTCAAACATTAATTGTCGAAAAAATTCGAAAAATTCAATTGTCAAAAAAAAAAATATTGTCAATTCATGACCTAAACCTATCGTTGAGGCGCTGAAAATTACTGGGCTCGTTGCGGAGTCCAAATGGCATACGCTTGTAACGGTAGGTACCGAAAGGGCAAATGAATACAGTGATATAACCTGTTTGCTTAGTTGCATGCAAAAGATCATCGATTCTCGGGATGGGGTATCTGTCTGGTCTGGTGATGACATTTAAAGCTCGGTAGTCTATCGTGAAGGCCCATCCTCAATCAATTTGGTAGCGATGTATTCGTAGCGATTTCGACAAAGTTTCGGTGATAATTCACACAAAAAGTACAGAAAACCGGTAATAACTCAGGCAATACCTAACGCGTCACAGTTATTTACAATTCGGCTATTTCTTGGTGATGACTTCCGTACTAAACGAGCGCGAAAAACACTATGGGTTTCGTCGAACAACTTCACGAAAATCGCGATCGGCACACAATAATCACTCTAGCAGTCTTGAAATTCATCGTGGCCCCACGTTGGGCGCCAATTTTTAAGATAATTCTTAGGGAAGTTGAATACACGGGAAGAATTAAACGAGAACCGATAGAGAAAACTGATTATTGTATATTGGTTTTGTATTAACAAAGAAAAGGAAATGAAATTTGCGTCATTGCATTATGAGCATTGACATCTGGTAATTAACAGGCTGTATATCAGGTTGACATCATACAAGGGACCAGTTGATCAGTGGTGTGGGGATTAGAGAATTTTGTTACAATTTTTGAAAAAAGATCGATCTTCATTATTTTTAAAATTCACCCATCAATGGGTGGGTAAACGAAATGCCCTAAATATGTATTATATGACAGAAAAAAGCATTAAATTCTCTTTAACATGAGTTAATTTTCATATTCATAGCTCAAATAGTTTCTGAAGTATTAAGCTTCGAATGTCACCATTAGTAAAAAAAATAACTAGGTTTACACTGGCATCTTTCGATGTCAGTGCTCATTTTATTCTGACATTAGTGTTACTTTGTCATTCATTTATTAAACTGTCAAAAAATAAATAAAATGCCCCACCAAAAACGTCACCCCAAGTGGCGCCTCAAATTCCAAAGAAAACTACCCCTTTTGAGCCTCCTCACCTTTACCTTTTTGTTCCACATTGGCATGTTCACCCCATTGGGTAGAAAAATCTTTATGCTGATGCCCGACGAAGACGAAAAAGTTTTAAAATACCCGCCATTTTATAAAGCCAAACTATCATCGACCAATCAGAAATCGTTTCAAGAGCTTACAGCTAATCAACACCAAGATGAACCATAAAATAATTGTGTATTTCTTTTTATGTAACAATATAGTATTTTATCGTTAACATTTAATTATCATTTTCAGGTTATTAAATTTAAGACTTAACGGCATTAGGACCCTAGACGAAGGCCGGCTCTACTTTAAACTCCATCCTTTGCACCAGGAATGCAGGAAACAACTGAAAATCTTTCGTTCTAAGCCACAATACAATTGGAAAAGCAACAAAAACTCCTCCTTGGCTTTCGTACCAAAAGTCCAAAGAAAAAAACCTTCAGTGGCACCTTTGGACATTATTGGAATGCCTGGATATGAAAAATTAACTGAAAGGGAGAGGGAAATGTGCGCTAGTACCAGATTAGTACCGGCTACTTATTTGGATTTGAAAGAAACTTTGATTGTGGAAAACGATAGGGCGGGCTGCGTAAAACTTCAAAGGGCGAGGAGTTTATTGAAGATTGATGTCAATAAAACTAGGAAGTTGTACGATTTTTTGGTCGGAGAGGGTTTTATTAAAAAATAAATTTATTGGCATTATTCTATATTTTATTTCTATCTTTGTTTGTTATATGGTATTAGAAAATGACACACAGTAGCTGTCAACGATCTACTTTACCGATTGACAGATGTTTGACGTTTTTGATATAATCCTTTTTCAAATAGGCCATGCATTTACCCAATCAAGTTTCAAAATTTTTTATCTATTTTCGTCATTGCTTCTCTAATCATTAATGTTGAAAAAAGACAGTATTAAGTTTTTTAAAA